GTACTTTGATTCCTTGTCCAACACTTCCTCCCCCATCTCTACCTCATCTTCCTCACAATTTCGCAACCATTACTCGACTATTGGTAATGGCGTCATAAGGGGAGGAGATGGAGAGGATAAGGATAATTAAAATGACCACCTCAGTAACCCACACTAAATATCATCACGCACATGCGGGACTGGACAGGCATTCCTTTCTCTAGTAAACACCCGTCTCCATGTTGGAGTCCTTCACAGTCCCACCTTGAGAATGACTGTTAGGGTTAAAGCCCTGCCACAAGATAAGTGCACTTATTACTGTATGACTCTCTGCCGTGTATCTTTTTTCCCTTTCGCTGCCGTCTTTATATAAGCTCTCCGCTTTTCCACCGACTGCAGCTCTTAAGCTGCCGAAACGAGGTAAGCGAGTGAATGGTAGGAGGTTATCAACAACACTGACAACTTCAAAGGCTAGGCGTGCGTCCATCAATGCCTGAGGCTGTCAGACTGTTAATCAATGGGGTTAGATGAGGAAAATAAATTTAAAGAACTACTACCATTCAACACACATGTCACCAAAAACAGTATTCAAGGACTAATTTTGACCCCGAAGATTCACTCGGATACAATAATAGTTAAAAGTTAGTTACTTCAGCAATTAGCAGATTCAAGTTTTACTAGCAGCAATGTTTCCCATGTACTTATAGTCGACGATAAGCGGACATGGCCGAACTACAGAGGTCAAGCAGTGAAAAGCAATGGACCATGCGCAAGTAAAATAAAACTTACGCACCAAAGTCTAAAATAAGGGATTGAATGGCATAACCATCAACTGTGCGCAAGCATGCTTACAAATGATACACAAATTTGTTAAGAGGAAAACAAATTACACACAGAAATCGACACTGGCACAGCCGAGTCTCAAACGGCGTCGAGTGCTTCACCGGTGACTAATCGTTGAACGTCTTTGGCGGAGGAAGCTTTAGCTAGAGAGTCGTTGTGATTTCGGCCGCAAGTTATCAGACGAATTCCACCATTTCATGCACGCCCTGCCAATTCGCTTTCACCTCCACAGATGACGATGTTATCACAGATGTCAATTCGCCAGTTGTTTGTGAAGACGACGGGTGAAGGGATGCCACATCAAGCGTTCGTATTGGATGAGTCATAAAATGGATAGCGTTTACTTCTCGATTTCTGGTTGAACTAAATACATCAACGAGAGGTTTAGCATGTAGGCACGGATAGCCACGTTAGTGAGTTGCAAAATACGTCATTTTGGATAAACTCGGCCTAAAAACGGG